CAAAAAAAAAAAAAAAGTAAGCATGCACTTTTATTAAATTAGATGGACTCTTAATCAAAAATCAATCGGTGATGAATAATCCATCAATTTTATATAATGTTTAGAATATTTTCTAACTTTTGATGTGAGACATTTTGTGTCTTATATATACACATCTCCTTGAAATAATAACTCTTTAAGCGTCACTTTTGGAATGTTCGGGTAAGTATCGATAGGTCATTTTTGGGTCAAATCGATAAGGATCGGGTTGTACTATGTAGATTGAGGATTCTGATACCATATTAAGTTAGATGAACTTCCAAACTAAGACCAATTGGTGATAAGAATAATGACATATCTATCTTATATATTGTTTAGAATACATTCCAACTTTTGATGTGGAACACTTTGTGTCTAATAGTTTTGTCTCATAGTTGGATTCAGTGATATTTTATGGCATTTTAATAAAGGAAATGCTCAAAGAGGGGTTTTCCTTATTTTAGATAGCTTTTTTAGTGGGTGTAGTTTAGATAGATTTTTTTTGTAAGAAAACCTCAAATAAATTATCCCAATAATATTATTTGGAAAGTACGTTGCATACGTGTCTCACGTTAATCTTAAAGTGGTCAATTACACTGATATTTTTAATAGATTAAAAACATTATACACAATACCATTATTATAATTTTCTTTTTTTATTTTCTTTTTTTTGGTTCATAATATTTTTAAATTTAGTTTCCTTTTTATTATTATATATTTTCTTACATAAAAATAGAAAGGAAATATCCATAACCCTAAAATGTGTAAATCATATAAATATATATATATATATATATATATATATATATATATATATATACTTGATTTTTATTTTATTTAATAACAAATAATGAATCTATTTTTCTAAAGACCATAAAGGGTTGAAATATTTTTATTTCAAAGAATATAACAAATAAGAAGAAAAAACCCAAGATATTTGCTATATATTTCTGTTCATCAAAAGATTATAAAAGGAAAGAAAATATTTTAAATAATATAAGTCTACCATATGCATTATATATTGATCATTTAATCTTCTTCTTCGTTTAAAATTAATATTACAACTAAATTTATACTAAATAATTAAATTAAGCATTAATAAATGATGTATGTCAATAGATCTAAACTAATATTTGCTAAACTAGTAAAATTTTAATTTTTCATATATTTAGCAAAAGTACATAATAAATTACAAAAATATGAATATATATATATATATATAAATATAAAATAAAAAGGAAGTTAATACAATTAGAAACATTAATATGATTTTAGCTATTAAAAATCGAAATAGCTGTAATACAAAATGCATTTCAATATACACCAAAAATAAATAAGTGACTCAATCAGATTTTTAAACATAAAACTACATGTATGACTAAGTTAACAATATATTATTTAGAAAATGTTAAATTATGATATATATATATATATATATATAATTATAAAATAAGATAATTTTATAATAAAGGAAAAATGAAAAATTATTATTAGAATTATTTATTATGTCAATATTTATATCCGTACATAAATACGGGAAAACTTTTATATGTGAAGTTTTTTATTAGGCAGTAGACTAACTGTTAACATAAAAATGAAGGATATGATTCTACTTATAAGTTGCACAAAATGTTATGTTTATAAATTCCCAATAAATGTACAGTTTTCATCAATAATGGCGATAATTTGTAGGAGTATTTGTTTTGACAACTTATGTTTAATTTATTTCTTCTCTTAATGTAATTTATATGCAATATGACTGGTAGCCGGTAGGTCAGTTATAGCTTAGAATGTTAAATGGTACTCATAGTTGCTGTCTGCGACTCTGCGTGGCACCCTGCCCTCCTCATTTCAGGTAAAAACGGTTTCATGTCAAGAAAATACGCGAAAATACATTTTTCTAGTAAATAGATATGGAAATAAAATGGAAATATAGATTTATTTTCGCAACCTACAATAATCCGTAGAAATATGTTTGATGTGTTTTTACTTCAGAATGAAAATCTTATCGATTTAAGGGAATTAATCATCCATAGAAAAGAAGATAGCAAAAAAAAAAAACAAATATTAACCGTTTTCTCTTCAATAACTTTATTGTTTGTATTTTTATTCTCGTATCTTAATTAATTAAAGCTATATACAATTGTTGAAAAAACTATATACAATTACTATATCAGAAACCATGACCATAAAAATATGTAACTATGAATAATCTGAGAGTCAAAATGATCAAGAGATATATAGTTATATATCTATATATGTATATAGTTCCTTTAAAAACTAAGAGATAAATAGTTTCAAAAAGTATGTGAACTGTGAAGTTACTTTAAAAATCAAACTAGACCTTGACCCGTGCGACCGCACGGATATTAATTTTATTATTTTAAATTTTTATATTAAATGAAATTTTTGTAAAATTTAATTGTATTACATTAAGTTTTCTTTTTGTGTGTTAACAACTTATTATATCAAAAATATTGGGTATCATACAAACAAATCTAACATATAGACGATATATTGAGAAGATTTTTCAGTTAAAGATATATCAAATCTTGAGAAGTAAGAGTTAATATGGTATACAAAAAAATGATAAATTAGTTATAAGATTTCTAAGAAGCGTGATGTTCAAATTATATAAAATTTTTAATATATAAAAAATTTGGCTTGAAATTTGTAAAATAAAAAAATGAAGTATCAATTAAATGGTTACAAATTACTTATGGGTTTAATTTTGACAGAAGAATACCGAAATTTTTTAATAATAGAGATATTGTACTACTTTTCTTTCATGTTAAAACATCTCCAATAACAATTTTAAAACATTAAATATAAGGTTTTGTGTGTTCTAATAGCAATCTCTAAATTTCAAATTATACGGTTTTTTATAGTAAAATTTTATATTTGAGATTTTACTGTATAATATTTTATATTTGAAATTTTATACTTTTTTGATCTTTATACTTGTATGTTTTTTTTTAAATAGTCTTCATAAATTTTTTGTTTGTCATTTTAATTCATACAGTTTTATCTATTTTAAATAGGTTTTTATAAATTTAACTTTTACATATAAATAAAAATAATCTAACAATTGATAACGTATGATATCTAGAGTATGGTGTAAATTAAATATTCAAGATTCTTAGATAATATGGATAAGATTTTAATCCAACGGCTGATGACAAATGAAATCTAGTGAATGGTATAGATTAAAGATTCAAAAAGTTCTATATTCTTAAATAGTAAATATTATATCTATAAAATACAAACATAAAAGAAAATATTCGATTTCAATATGTTTTAGCTTGTAATCTAAAACAAAGCTCATTTATCACTACAAAATACACTATTTGATCATATATATCATTATGAAATTAAGAATAATAATAATAAAGTATTTTGTATGTCTTTATTTATATATAATTTGCTATTAGAATGTAATAGTTTATTAATAAGTATTATTAATAATATTTGGTTGTATGATTTTAGTTATTATAAAAGTTATGTTTTTCTTTGATTTTTGTCTGAAATAAAGATTATGATGTAAAAATATAAATTTTAAAGCTTTTTTTTTAGATTTATTGATGGAGAACAACACCTTTAAAATTTAAATCTTAATTATAAAGTTATTTTTAGAGATACTCTTAGTAGATATTTTAAGAGAGAGGTGTCTGAGTCCAAATCTTTTCAACCAAACAAGTGATATATAGTAGCAATCATTTTATGTTTACTTTTCTTTTTAAGTAGAGCAGTCGTATCATGTTTTTTTTTTTTTTTGAAAAAGGTTTTCTTCAATCATATCATGTTTACGCAATAATGTTATCATCTCCATTATAAAACTGATATTTATTTCTTTGGCAACAAAACTGATAAATATTGATTTTCTAACTGATCATCTTCGGATCACTTGTAAAGTATTTTTTTTTTCGTCCAAGCAACTCTACTTTTGATTCCAACTTCTTTGGAAAATATGGACCGTCAGAAAATAATTTATTTACGTTGTTAAAATGGGAACCACAAACCTTTATTATGTAGGAGTAAGGACGGAATGGATATTCGACATTCTAAAAATATCCGTGGCCTTCTTACTAGATCCGCTTCGTAAACGTTTGAATATTCAAAAATTTAATATAAAGTTAACAAGATTTTATGACAAAAATAAATTTACTTAATTCAAAACATTTTTATATTTGTTAAATAATTAGATATTAGATATTAAATATTAGTATTTGTTTTATTTTATAAAGTTACGTAGATATAGATTTTTTGGATCTAGTTCAAACTGATAAATGATTGAATTAAATTTCACAGATATTTGTCCACCCCTATATATATAGTGTCGAAGTATTATTTATATATACTGTAGTGTGCAAGTTTTTAGTATTTCTGAAAATCATTAATAATTTACCGTCGATATAGCAATGCAATACAAAACAGGGCTTCACACATCTCAACGAAGTTTTAGCTGTCAATGCAAAATTATCTACTAGTTCTGCAATATGATAAAATTGACTAATTAAAAATCAGTTGACATAGACCAAAAGTATGAACAAACAATTTATACTCAACTCATTTTTCTATAAAAACTACTTGTTTTTTTTTCAGAAGAACTCTACTTGTTTTTTTTTTAACTTTGATTCATGTAAAAATTATGAAATCGTCAATAATAAAAACTATTTTCTATCAACCTTCTTCACTGTTTTCTTTACTTTGTAAATCTTGTTATTTAGCAAAACTATTGCATATCTATCCAAAAGATTGTACACTAACAGACGCAGTTACCTATGATTTAAAATAGTACCATGTTGTACCTAAAAAATGATTCTTTACGAGTAAAAAATCCAAAATTTTACAAACCACATTATCGTTTTCTTTCGCAAAATATAAACACTAGCACAAACATAAGCTAATTGGATTATTGAGAAACAATTGCACACTAAATGGCCAACGTAAGTGAACACAAACAAACTACGTCGTAACACTAATTAATCAAGTTCCACAGTCTCTCCATCCAACAGATTCCAAAGTTGCTCAACCTCAAACGCCAGCTTTTCTGTTTCTGCAGCTTCTGGAGCAAGCGCATCTGGTTCTTGGCTCTCCTCTAACAAACTCTTCCACCACATGTTCTCTCCATCCATTAAATTATTAAGGCGCTCATATTTCTCCGCGTTGTTTTTACATGTGATACTATTTTCACAAACATTATTAGTGTTGTTTACTCCAAGGAAGAGAGGACTAACGTCAATTTTTGGCTGGCCACTGGAATGGCTGCAGCCGTTGTTAACCGTGAAGGATCGAGGTCGAGGTTTGATAACTTCATTTTTTTGGGCGGGTGTGGTTGAAGAGCAAGGAATGTTTCTCTTTCTCACCTTGGTATTACTGCACGGTTCATGTTTCTTACTCAAATGGGTGTTCCAGTAGTTCTTGACATCATTAGCGGTCCGACCGGGTAATCTACCAGCAATTAAAGACCACCTATATAACCATGCATTTGGATGAGTTTGGATATTATATCTATAAATATATGACTTAGTATTGGATTTGAATTTTTATGTGTTGAATATAAACCTGTTTCCTAGAAGCTTATGAAGGCGAAGAAGAAGATCAACTTCATCAAGACTAAGTTTTCCTCTCTTGATACTCGGCTTCAAATAGTTCAACCATCTTAGTCTACAACTCTTCCTGCACCGGTTTAGCCCTACAAAACCAATAGTTGATGTAACTAAGCCGAAACGGAAAACAAGGACGACTCTCTCCGTCAAAGGGTTTCCGTTTGTTTCCGGTTTAGATTTTTCGGTTTATTATCCAGATTGAACCGTTGTACCTCACTAACCAATTCCAAGTTTGGGTGATTATTAATCCAAAAAAGAAAGATATAACTGAAGCCTATTAAATGAACGAACCAAAGCTATTGTTCATGTAAAGCGCCAACATAATGGCCTTCTGATTTATTAGCCAAAAAAGCTATTGTTTCTTCTACAGATTGGAGATTGTTCCATTCTTGTCCAGCTTTTTTGTATAACAATGTTTATAATGACACTAATCAATAAAAAAAATTTGACTCGAAAAAAAAAAAAGAACGAACCAAGAATGCTCTCGCTTCTCCTAAATTTTATCACGAAGAATCTACAAAGACCAATAGAAATTATCTATTATTTACACGCAAACACACAAGCGTCTCTTCGCTTAGTCAACGTAAGTAGACTGATACTCAGTAAAAACAAGAGTGCGTACACAAATAGATTTTTACTGGGTTCATTTACTAAAAGGACAAACCAAAAGTGCAAAACAAGATGGATCTTTTGGCTTCGTCAAAGTAACTAAACACTAAAAGAACATCTCCAATTTCCCTCTATAATTTATTTTATTTTATTCAAAAATAGAGTGAAAAATGGACCAGAAAAAAAAATATTCTTTATTTTAGAATAATTTTTTATATTTTGCTCATCATTCTATTTTTTCTATTTATTTTAGAGTAAATTATGGAATGAGAATAAATATGTTCTAATATTTTCTACTTATAGTTTTGAAAAAAAAATTATTTCAAATAAGACAACGTTTTCAATTTTGTATATAAAGTTTATTATATTCATATTATATAATTAATGATATTACATATTCTATTTTATCATTAGTTGAACTGTAATTAGATAAATAATTAATGATTTTTTTAATTTAAAAATATATAGATAACTAACTGTATTTAATATATGTGTATACTCTTAAAACATCATCTATTAAAACGAAATGAATGAACACAAATTAAGAATGAAATGAATATTAAATATACATACCTTCGTTTATGGTCGACATAATTGAATATGAACACATATATATTTTTATCATGAACATCCTTAGAAAGCATATATTTTTAGTTTGAGTCAGTATAAGTCTGTTTAGATCGTTGATAAAAACACAAACAATGATTTGTGCACCCCATGTGTTAAATAATTTCCCGAACAATAGACAGAGGGAAGACAATATTCACAGTAATTATATATATATATATATATATTGTGTGCACGCAATAAAAAATGTAACATACCTGCTCGTAGAGGAACTTGGTGCCATTTGCCTTCTCCATACTTATCGATGCATTGCCTTAAGAGACTATCTTCTTCAGCAGTCCATGCACCTTTTCTCAACCCTTTCGGCGAACCCTCCATAGACCAAGGATAAATATTAGAAGTATTTAACCAATTAAAATTTATTGAGGAAGAGGGTTTGTATTTCAATTTCACAAATTCTTGGAGGCATTTATTTATACACCTGAGAAGAAGCATAGGGAACTGAGAAAAAGCATAGGGAAGTGACGTGCATGTTTGATATCCACATTTCATGTTTATAGTGTCGTACTTAATTCGTATCTTTTTTTTTTTAATTTGTTATGTTAGTTAGGCCATCTCCAACAATGACACCAAAATACTAAAATTGGTGTAAATCCATTTTTAATAAGACACCAAACTTGATACCATCCTACCAAATTTGATGTAAAGTGAATAATATTAATATTATTGATCACACCAAAAATTAAAATACATATTTTATTATATATTATTTAATAATATTTTGAATAACTATTATTAATTAGTTCAAATTTGTAATTAAATCTAAATATAATGTACTTAAACTGTTTTACATAATTTTTTTTTATTTTCTACTAATAAATCACTAAATTTCATATTGTAAAAAATATATTATAATATATTACTAACTAATATAAATTTTATTTAAATATATTTATTATTTTGTTATGTAGTTTTCATTTTTAATAGTTTGTAATTTTTATCATGTCTAATATTTATAAATAATTAATACATAAAAATATAATATTGGTAAACTTAAAATAAATGTAAATAAATTTTATAAACATAAATCTACAAAATTTTAACAAACATAATAAATAAGTGTAATATAATAATTATATATCAGTTACAAATAATTAAAACATAAAATAAATTTAAAATTTTAAAAATAATAATATATAATATTACTTTGGGTGTAAAATTTGGGTTGTTGTTGGAGATGACAAAAGAAATTTGACACCAAAACATCAAATTTACTATAATTTTGACACTAATTTCGGTGTCATCGTTAGAAATAGCCTTAAATTTGCTATTGATTTTTTAAATATTTCAAAGTTTATCGTACCTAGCTTTTTCAGTACTTCAAAGAAAAGCACATGTCTCTCAACAAGTTAGGAGAAAGGATTGTCACTGTTTGGTGGCAGTTAAGATTACAAGAGGGGGGTGGTAGGTAGTATTTGTTTTTTTTTCTTTCATTTTTTCTTCGGAGCGGTAGTGTTTTCATGCATCAAAATCTGAACTTAATATTGAGAGAGGTTGGATGCATAACAATTAGTCTTTAGGAAGATTATGTTGTATATATGATCTGAATATTGTGAGATAAGTATTTTGTTAATATGATTGCATAGTTGAGTTCAGTTTTTTTGTATTTTGCTCTATAATCTCCTAAGTTTGTACATATATGTTATATATCTTCTATAAATAGAATAAATACAAGATTGGAGTTTATTGTTCATGAATTTTTTAAACATTTGAGATTAAACAAACGTTTGTTTTGGTTAAGATTTGGTTTACTTCTATAAATAAATAGAGAAAAAAATAAACAAATATTTTTTATAGGAAACTATTTTATTTAAGTAAAATATAACATTACAAATACAGTCAATTACAAATTTAAAGAGAAGAAAATACATTATAACTTACACTAAAATTCGAAAAATCTTTCTTGTAAACTATCTTTTCTGATAATAAAATAACAATTCTCTTTTCTTTCTTTGATGTGATTACCTTCAACAATCATCCATTGATAGAATTTCAGACTTGTCTTCACAAATTTTTTTGTTGCGTAACAATGGCTAAAGTCTAGTTTAAATCTATAGATATCCATTAAATAAGAATCTAAAATAATGTTTATTTTGAAAGAAATAAAAATTGAATATGTCAATTTAAGATTCTAAAGACATCAGTCACATCACATAAATTATTTCTCTGATAATTATTGCATCATATGTTCATGTGATTTTCATAGCAATTGTTTCTAGAACAAAACGACTAAAATAAGTTCACTACCACTTAAAACTGGAAGGAACACAAACATGATTAATGTCTTGTCGCCAATCATGGCCACGTATTCCATGTGGGAGATAACAACAATGAATTGGGAGATGAAGTGGTTGACACCCAGCAAGTCTGATTAGAAAGGGAAAATCTATAGATTCAAGACCATACGAGAATTAAGGGCCAACCAGTAAAGATGAGTGGATTTAGTCGGTTTCTAAAACGGCGCAAGAGAAACCTTTTCCCCAAGAACACTTCGTAAGTAACGAAGGAGAGAAACCTTAAGAGAATTAGGCAACCGACAGGATTTGCGATCGAACCAGGCCTGTCATACGCTAGAAGATGAGGGAATGTTAAAACCAGAGAAAGCCAGAGCATCATTCTCAGAGATGCTTGAGATTGATTTTGTTCAGTATGTTTGAAGACCTGATCTCCAAAAATCGTTGATATTGTGGATGATACTTTTCCTTTTGTGTTAAAAAAAAAACTTTTCCTTTTGTACTCCACCATGATGACTAAAATCACGTGACACCGTACAAAGACACAGTGAATGTTCCTTCGTATCCAAAGCCAAAAAAAAAACTTGATTAAAAAATTGTTAACGAATGGCTGATCAAGGAACCAGATTGTGAAGCTCAAGCATGTAACATGTGAAGAGAAAGTCAAGAAAGTCTACCATATCCTCTCGTTCGTTAAAGGTTTTTTTTTTTTTTTTTTTTGTTAAAGCGTTCGTTAAAGGTTATGGTAGATGTTTAAACTCAAGAAAGTCTCATGCGCGCGTATTAAAGATACGGTTAATGGTTCGAATCCCATTGGCGAACGGGGGCAATATATAACATCCGGGCTCCCCTAGTGTCCGGTTACTGAAGCTTACTCTGACCGTAGCCTGCTACGGATACTTGTCTCACCGATAGTTTGGATCTATCTTGGTGGAAATTAGGATACATAGTCGACCCTTGAACCAAGCAAAGAAAACAATTGTTTCCGGCCGCTTAATAGTAAAGAATGTTTCAGCCACAATTTTCCAAAACGTTCTGTTAGTGTAGTGGTTAAATCTGATAGGTACAAACTTTCTTCACCCAACCTGATTTTGAAGCTCAACAGAAGGAGTCAATTTTTTCAAATTTGCTTCTAATCTTAAATTTTCTAGGACTGGCGCTGCTAGGATATTAAACATATTTTAAAAATATTATTTTTTAGTTAAATAAAAAGTATTATTTGAAAATTACATATTTATTTTATATTTAAAATGAATTGATCTTATGAGTAATTTTATTTATTTATTGAATAATATAATATTGTTATTAAAATATAAATACACCTCGATCGTTTTACTTTATGTGAGAAGTGTCAAATTTGAACTTTTGATAAAACACAAGGAATATTCGTTACTGCATGAAGTTGGGAATTTTGTTAAGTGTTTGGAGGTCCAACAAATTTGATTTTTGTTTTAAGAGATAAGAAAACACAGAAGAAAGTCGTAATTAATTATAACAAATCGACGTGTACATTACAGAAGAAACTATAACGGCAACAAGGGTCAGTGTTGAAACTGAGGGGAGGTGGGCACCAGAACTTGAGGGAGACGGTGCAGTCTTGGCCGGGGAATCAGCCAAAGATGGTGAAGATGTGGGTGACTCGACCGAAGATGGCGAAGTCATAGGTGTTCCAGCCGATTCAGAAACTGTATCCATATAATTATCATTCATAAATTATATTTCTTATAAGATCAACTCTATACAACGATATATGTTAAAAATAAATTTTATACAACACTTTAATATNGGTGTTCCAGCCGATTCAGAAACTGTATCCATATAATTATCATTCATAAATTATATTTCTTATAAGATCAACTCTATACAACGATATATGTTAAAAATAAATTTTATACAACACTTTAATATATATAGGTATACAAATTATAGTATCTATTAAAATAATTCAACCAAAATATAATCTTAGGTCAAAATCTAGTTTACTACATGAGCCTCAACGAAATATGAAATTTATTTTGTATACAAGAAAACCTAGTAAATTTACTAAAAATAAAAAAGTTAGATACCACACTATTTGAAAACATTTTTCAATAAATCTGTAAGGCAAGAGAAAAACACACATAAAGCCATCAAAATTAATTATTACAAGTACTCGGAGACATACCAGGAGTTGATGCAGCCGGTGTCGTCGCCTCGTCCACGTCCAGTATCGCTACATCAGTAATAAAAATTTAACTTCCAAACAATGTAAACACTACGCGAAAAAACATTAGATTCAAGGGGGGGGGGAACGAAAATTACTCACCACAATGAGGAGCAACAATGGGGAGTTTGCAAGTCGTAGGCATGGCACGAGCTCTCGTGTTATTCACGGCAAACCCCATAGTTTTGCTACTTTCTATACCGACGCAAACACAGTTAGGGTTATATTGTAGAACAGATAGGATTCCCCCACAACAAACCTTCGTGGGCTTAGTATCATTTGATCCGGGGGTTAGGTACGAGAGACAATCAAACATGTCATATATAACGCTGGTGCAATCAGAACTTGACGGTCCTGGCGCAGGAGCTGCTACCGGTGAAGGAGACTTTGGCTGCGATTTGTTGCGGGCGTGGATGGGTGCAAATGATGATGATGTTAGAAGAACTATTAAGATGGAAAGAAGAATAGACTGCGCCATAATTGCTAATTCTTTGAAAGCTCTTATTGTTTATTGTTGTCTTTGTGTTGGATGTGTTCATGGTGTAAAGGAAGACAGATATTTATATAGAAGTGAACTCAAAAAGAACAAAGATAAGAATTTCTTTTCTTTGTTAGCTGTTTTCCCTTTTTTAGGATTTGAAGTCCGGTTCTCTCGTTCCTTAAATTTGGGGGTTTAAGATTATTGTTGAATATGCGAAATTATCTTGTAAGGATTTAAGTATCTAACTGTTTTTGTTTTCTGTTTTCTGTTTTAAATGATGTTGTAAACGAAGCACATAACCTTGACAAAAGGTTGAATTTAGAATTTATTTTCAAATCTCATTTCAGAGCATTGGGACAATCTCTCAAAAAAGTTTTTTCGGTATTTAATACTAATATAATTGATTTTATAATCAAAGTATAAATAAAAAATTAAATTTGGCATCGTAAAATTTATTTCCTTGTTGTCTTTTTCTTTTCTAAATTGGGGAGTTTTGGATCAAAACACATACATCTCTCTATCAAGATCCAGGCAAGACTGAAACCCTGATGCACAGAGGGTATTCTCCTTCGGATATCATAAATAACATACTCTCCAACAAACTTCCTGTAATATAAAAACCGATCTAATAAACAACACCCCCATCCTCCTTCATACTCAGAAGCCCATCGATCCACTGAAGCTGAAGCTCGACGTCCATGTTCTGGAGCTTAAGGAGCACTCGTCTCACCGATAGTTTGGATTTATCTTGGTGGAGACTAGGATATAGAACCGGTCCTTAAACCAAGCGAAAAAACCATTGGCTTCCGGCCGCTTAATAATAAAGAATATTTTGGCCACAATTTTCCAAAACGTTCTGTTCTGTAGTGATTAAATCTGACAGGTACAAACTCTCTTCACCCAATCCGGTTTTGAAGCTCAACAGAAAGGGCCAATTTTTTTAAATTTGCTTCTAGTCTTAAATTTTCTAGAACTGACACTTGTAGGATATTAAACATATTTTAAGACTATTGTTTTTTGGTTAAATAAAAAGTGTTATTTGACAATTACATATTTATTTTATATTTAAAATGAATTGATCTTATGAGTAATTTTATTTATTTAGTGAATAATATAATATTGTTATTAAAAATATAAATACACCTCGATCGTTTTACTTCATGTGAGAAGTGTCAAAATTGAACTTTTCATAAAACACAGGGAATATTTATTAATGTATGAAGTTGGGAAATTTGTGAAGTGTTTGGAGGTCCAACAATTTGATTTTTGTTTTAAGAGATAAGAAATCACAGATCCCAAGTAGATAGATAGGAATTTTGCACGATTAAAAACATAATGTCTTCAAATCACAACCATTAAATGAACAACAAAGCAAAAAAAAAGAATATGAATGAAAAAGAGTAAAGTTGTAATTAGTTATAACAAAGCGAAGTGTACATTAATACAGAAGAAACTATAACGGCAACAAGGGTCAGTGTTGAAACTGAGGGGAGGTGGGCACCAGAACTTGAGGGAAACGGTGCAGTCTTGGCCGGGGAATCAGCCAAAGATGGTGAAGATGTGGGTGACTCGACCGAAGATGGCGAAGTCATAGGTGTTCCAGCCGATTCAGAAACTGTATCCATATAATTATCATTCATAAATTATATTTCTTATAAGATCAACTCTATACAACGATATATGTTAAAAATAAATTTTATACAACACTTTAATATNGGTGTTCCAGCCGATTCAGAAACTGTATCCATATAATTATCATTCATAAATTATATTTCTTATAAGATCAACTCTATACAACGATATATGTTAAAAATAAATTTTATACAACACTTTAATATATATAGGTATACAAATTATAGTATCTATTAAAATAATTCAACCAAAATATAATCTTAGGTCAAAATCTAGTTTACTATTATAAGTCTAATGACCCTCAACGAAATTGATTTTGTATACAAGAAACCCTAGTAAATTTACTAATAATAAAAAAAAAGTTAGATACCACACTATTTGAAAACATTTTTCAATAAATCTGTAAGGCAAGAGAAAAATACACAGAAAGCCATCAAATTTAATATTACAAGTACTCGGAGACATACCAGGAGTTGATGCAGCCGGTGTCGTCGCCTCGTCCACGTCCAGTATCGCTACATCAGTAATAAAAATTTAACTTCCAAACAATGAAAACACTACGCGAAAAAACATTAGATTCAAGGGGGGGGGGACGAAAATTACTCACCACAATGAGGAGCAACAATGGGGAGTTTGCAAGTCGTAGGCATGGCACGAGCTCTCGTGTTATTCACGGCAAACCCCATAGTTTTGCTTCTTTCTATACCGACGCAAACACAGTTAGGGTTATATTGTAGAACAGATAGGATTCCCCCACAACAAACTTTCGTGGGCTTAGTATCATTTGATCCGGGGGTTAGGTACGAGAGACAATCAAACATGTCATATATAACGCTGGTGCAATCAGAAGTTGACGGTCCTGGCGCTGGAGCTGCTACCGGTGAAGGAGACTTTGGCTGCGATTTGTTGCGGGCGTGGATGGGTACAAATGATGATGATGTTAGAAGAACTATTAAGATGGAAAGAAGAATAGACTGCGCCATAATTGCTAATTCTTTGAAAGCTCTTATTGTTTATTGTTGTCTTTGTGTTGGATGTGTTCTGGTGTAAGGGAAGACAGATATTTATATAGAAGTGAACTCAAAAAGAACAAAGATAAGAATTTATTTTCTTTGTTAGCTGTTTTCCCTTTTTAGGATTTGAAGTCCGATTTGTTGGAGATAAACTTGAATGAGAAGTTATCTAAATCCTAGTTTTTAGATAGAGTTATCTAAATAATATACAAGTCCTAATGAGTTTAGAAATATTGGGTTTTTTATAAATAGAGATGCAAGAGTGTTGCATCCTATGAGTTGTTGTGGGCTTTAGTTTTGAGTTATTTTTTCTAAAGCATTGAGGATTTAATAAGAAGAGTTTCTATTGAGATTTAGATTTCGTGTGTTCTTGAGACTAGATTTGGTATCAGAGCTTACAAAGACGATCTTGAGCAAGCATGGGAGACATCACGACATACACGAAGCTTAAAGAAGGAGGAGGGACTTCTTCAGTTAATTGTCCAATGCTAACTACAACCAATTATACGGTATGGGCCATAAGGATCAAGCTTTTGCTGCAAGTACATGAAGTAAGGGAGGTTGTTGAAGCTGAGACGGATAACAGTAAGAAGAACACCATGGCTATGGTGTTACTCTTCCAGTTGATACTTGAAAGCCTAATTATGCAAATCGGAGGGTTAGATACAGCGAAAAAGGTATGGGAAGCTATCAAAACTAGGTATATGGGAGCAGACAGAGTTCGTGAAGCCCGTCTACAAACCCTTATGACTGATTTTGATAAACTTAAGATGAAAGATACAGAGACAATTGATGACTTTGCTGGAAAGATATCAGAGATCTCTTCAAAAGCTGCTATGTTCGGAGAAATCATGGAAGAAAGCAAGATTGTTAAGAAGTTTCTCAAAAGTCTACCAATGAAAAAATTACATTCATATTGTGGCATCCTTAGAACAGGTACTTGATCTGAATGATATAACTTTTGAAGACATCATAAGTCGGCTAAAGGCATATGAAGATTGAGTAGCAGAAGAAGAAGAAGAAGAAGAAGAAAAGCAGGATAATCAAACAAAACTGATGTATGCGAACAATGAGACTCAACAGCATCAGCAACACCGAGAAAACAGCAACTACAACCGTGATAATAATTACAGAGGACGAGGCAGAGGTGGACGTTTCTATAACAGAGGAAGAGGTCGCGGACGTTACAACTATGGAGGCAATCTATCCAAAGTCACTTGTTTCAGGTGTGACAAGAATGGTCATTATGCCATGGACTGTCCAGATAGACTCCTGAAACTACAAGAAGCACAAGAAACAAAGAATGAAGATACGGAAGAAGCTGAAGATCTGATGATGCATGAGGTAATATTTCTAAATGAGAAAAACATGAACCTACAAGATTTTGAGACAAGTATGGTAGGAGAAAATGTCTGGTACCTAGACAATGGTGCATCCAACCATATGACTGGAAACCGAGGTTATTTTTACAAGATCGATGAGACCATCACAGGAAAAGTAAGGTTTGGTGATGATTCATGCATTGATATAAAAGGAAAGGGGTCAGTCATGTTCATTAGAAAAGTTGATGAGAAAAGGGTTCTAGCATATGTATACTATATTCCTGCTTTGAAAAGAAATATCATCAGTTTAGGACAAGCCACAGAGTTGGGCTGTGATGTACGGATGAAAGGAGACTTTCTGATACTACTTGACAAGGAAGGGAGATTAATCACGAGAGCTAAGAGATCTAAGAACAGACTATACAAAGTTCTTATGGAAGGTGCTGATAATAAGTGTTTACAAGCAAGGGGTCTTGGTGAAAGTGAGAAGTGGCACGCAAGATTGGGTCATATTGGGAGAAAATCAATGAAGATCATGATCAAAAAGGAACTTGTTCTTGGGATACCTAATATAGAAGTCGAGAAAGAGACATGCTCTTCCTGTTTACTTGGCAAGCAAACAAGGGGAGCTTTTCCAAAGGCAACATCATATCGTGCAAGTAAAGTACTAGAACTCATCCATGGGGATCTTTGTGGACCCATCACCCCTTCTACACCAGCAAAGAACAGGTATATCTTTGTTCTTACTGATGATCATTCTCGTTACATGTGGTCAATTCTTCTCAAAGACAAAGGAGAGGCGTTTGATTAATTCAAAAAGTTCAAGGAAATTGTTGAGTGAGAGACAGGAGCTAAGATTAAGACTCTTAGAACAGATCGAAGTGGTGAGTTTTGTTCAAATAAATTCAAGGAGTATTGTTCAACATATCTTATAAACAGAGTAGGAACAAGAGTGCTTGTCACGCAAACTCCTTATCAAGTTTTCAAGAAGAAGAAACCTAATGTGGAGCATATACGCGTGTTTGGATGTTTGAGCTATGCTAAGATACACAGTGGACATCTAAAGAAGTTGGATGATAGGTCACACAAGTTGGTACACCTAGGAACTGAGCCAGGATCAAAAGCGTATAGATTACTGGATCCAATAATTCGTAAGATTGTGGTGAACAGAGATGTAGTGTTTGATGAGAATCAAGGCTGGGACTGGAAGGAAACAGAGAAAGAACTTGATAGTGAATCAGGACCTTTTGAGCTCTCTCTTGGAAATTTTGGAAACAGAGGAATAAATGAAGAAAACGCAGAGATTTATGAGGAACATGATACTGAGGAAGTAACTGCAGAGGAACATAGTACAGCTTATGAGATACCAGAAACACCAGAGCTTGTCACACTGAGAAGGTCAATGCGTGAGCATAAGAAACCAAGCTATCTAGAGGACTACATCTTGCTAACTGAACTTGAGGACGAGAGCGAGCACATTTTGATGCTTATTAATGATGAACCATGGAGTAACAGTGAAGCAAGTGAAGAAAAGGTTTGGAGAGATGCATGTGATGAGGAGATCACATCAATTGAGAAAAATAAAACTTGGGAACTCGTGGATCTTCCTAAAGGAGCAAAAGCAATAGGTCTTAAATGGGTGTTCAAGATAAAAATAAATGCAGATGGGAGTATTAACAAGTTTAAAGCTAGGCTTGTGGCAAAAGGATATATACAAAGACATGGTATTGACTATGAGGAAGTGTTTTCCCCAGTAGCACATATTGAGACCATTCGGTTTATCTTGGCTTTAGCAGCATCAGAATCACGGAAAATACACCACTTGGATGTAAAGACAGATTTTCTGCATGGTGATCTTAAGGAACTAGTTTATGTCTCTCAACCAGAAGGGTATGTTAACAAAGGAAAGGAGAATAAGGTGTATAAACTCAATAAGGCCATTTATGGTTTGAAACATGCTCCAAGGGCGTGGAATGAGAAGCTGAATAAGGTGCTAGAGCAACTTAAGTTTCAGAAGTGTTCAAAAGAACCTGCACTATACCGACGGCAAGAAACAGAGCAACTTCTCATTGTGGCTGTGTACTTAGATGACCTTCTAGTCACTGGAACAAGCATAGATGCGATACAAGAGTTTAAGAAGAAAATGCCTAGTATCTTCGAGATGAGTGGCTTGGGAAAATTAACTTACTATCTTGGGATAGAAGTGTGTCAGAATGAACATGGAATTACATTGAATCAAGAAAGATACGCAAAGAAGATCTTAAGCGAAACTAAGATGGAAGACTGCAACATAGTTCATGCACCAATGGATCCAGGGTTACGGCTTTCAAAAGGGATCAATGAGAAGAACATAGATGAGAAGGAGTACAGAAGAAATATCGGATGTCTCAGGTCTTTACTTCACACTAGACCTGATCTCTCTTACAGTGTTAGGTATCTTGAGTAGATACATGCAGCAACCCAAGGAATCACACAGTGCAGAATTGAAGGTGATACTTAGGTACTTACAAGGTACATGTAAGTATGGTCTTGTGTTTAAACGAGGAGGTAAGGCAGAGTTGAAAGGTTATAATGACAGCTCTCGTTCCTTAAATTTGGGGGTTTAAGATTATTGTTGAATAGGCAAAATTATCTTGTAAGGATTTAAGTATCTAACTGTTTTTTTTTTCTGTTTTCTTGTTTAAATGATGTTGTAAACGAAGCGCATAACCTTGATAAAAGGTTGAATTTAGAATTTATTTTCAAACCTCATTTCAGAGCATTGGGACAATCTCTCAACAAAGTTTTTCGGTATTTAATATTAATATAATTGATTTTATAATCAAAGTATAAATAAAACATTAAATTTGGCATCGTAAAAGTGATTTCCTTGTTGTCATTTTCTTTTCTAAATTGGGGAGTTTTGGATCAAAACACATACATCTCTCTATCAAGATCCAGGCAAGACTGAAACCCTGATGCATAGAGGGTATTCTCCTTCGGATATCATAAATAACATACTCTCCAACAAACTTCCTGTAATATAAACACCAATCTAATAAACAACACCCCCATCCTCCTTCATACTCAGAAGCCCATCGATCCACTGAAGCTGAAGCTCGACGTCCATGTTCTGGAGCTTAAGGAACACTCGTCTTACCGACAGTTTGGATTTAGGTGGAGACTAGAATATAGAGCCGGTCCTTAAACCAAGCGAAAAAAACAATGGCTTCCGGCCGCTTAATAATAAAGAATATTTTGGCCACAATTTTCCAAAACATTCTGTTGTGTAGTGATTAAATCTGATATGTACAAACTCTCTTCACCCAACCCGGTTTTGAAGCTCAACAGAAGAGGCCAATTTTTTTAAATTTGCTTCTAGTCTTAAATTTTCTAGAGCCGACACTGGTAGGATATTAAACATATTTTAAAACTATTGTTTTTTGGTTAAATAAAAAGTGTTATTTGACAATTACATATTTATTTCATATTTAAATTGAATTGATCTTATGAGTAATTTTATTTATTTATTGAATAATATAATATTGTTATTAAAAATATAAATACACCTCGATCGTTTTACTTCATGTGAGAAGTGTCAAAATTGAACTTTTCATAAAACACAAGGAATATTTGTTAATGTATGAAGTTGGGAAATTTGTGAAGTGTTTGGAGGTCCAACAAATTTAATTTTTGTTTAAAGAGATAAGAAAACACAGATCCCAAGTAGATAGATAGGAATTTTTCACGATTAAAAACATAATGTCTTCAAATCACAACCATTAAATGTACAACAAAGTAAAAAATAGAATATGAACGAAAAAGAGTAAAGTCGTAATTAATTATAACAAAGCGAAGTGTACATTACAGAAGAAACTATAACGGCAACAAGGGTCAGTGTTGAAACTGAGGGGAGGTGGGCACCAGAACTTGAGGGAGACGGTGCAGTCTTGGCCGGGGAATCAGCCAAAGATGGTGAAGATGTGGGTGACTCGACCGAAGATGGCGAAGTCATAGGTGTTCCAGCCGATTGAGAAACTGTATCCATATTTATCATTCATAAATTATATTTCTTATAAGATCAACTCTATATAAAGATATATTTTAAAGATATAATTTATACAACATTTAATATATATATATAGGTATACAAATTATAGTTTTTATTATAATAACTCAACCAAAATATAATCTTAGGTAAAAATCTAGTTTACTATTATAAGACTAATGAGCCTCAACGAAATTGATTTTGTATACAAGAAACCCTAGTAAATTTACTAATAATAAAAAAAAGTTAGATACCACACTATTTGAAAACATTTTTCAATAAATCTGTAAGGCAAGAGAAAAATACACAGAAAGCCATCAAATTTAATTATCACAAGTACTCGGAGACATACCAGGAGTTGATGCAGCCGGTGTCGTCGCCTCGTCCACGTCCAGTATCGCTACATAAGTAATTAAAATTTAACTTCCAAACAATGAAAACACTACGCGAAAAAACATTAGATTCGAGGGAAGAAAAAAGAGAAAATTACTCACCACAATGAGGGGCAACAATGGGGAGTTTGCAAGTCGTAGGCATGGCACGAGCTCTCGTGTTATTCACGGCAAACCCCATAGTTTTGCTACTTTCTATACCGACGCAAACACAGTTAGGATTATATTGTAGAACAGATAGGATTCCCCCACAACAAACTTTCGTGGGCTTAGTATCATTTGATCCGGGGGTTAGGTACGAGAGACAATCAAACATGTCATATATAACGCTGGTGCAATCAGAAGTTGACGGTCCTGGCGCTGGAGCTGCTACCGGTGAAGGAGACTTTGGCTGCGATTTGTTGCGGGCGTGGATGGGTGCAAATGATGATGATGTTAGAAGAACTATTAAGATGGAAAGAAGAAGAGACTGCGCCATAATTGCTAATTCTTTGAAAGCTCTTATTGTTTATTGTTGTCTTTGTGTTGGATGTGTTCTGGTGTAAGGGAAGACAATTATTTATATAGAAGTGAACCCAAAAAGAACAAAGATAAGAATTTCTTTTCTTTGTTAGCTGTTTTTCCCTTTTTAGGATTTGAAGTCCGATTTGATGGAGATAAACTTGAATGAGAAGTTATCTAAATCCTAATTTTTAGATAGAGTTATCTAAATAATATACAAGTCCTAATGAGTATAGGAATATTGGGTTTTATATAAATAGAGATGCAAGAGTGTTGCATCCTATGAGTTGTTGTGGGCTTTAGTTTTGAATTATTTTTTCTAAAGAATTGAGGATTTAATAAGAAGAGTTTCTATTGAGATTTACATTTGTGTGTTCTTGAGACTAGATTTGGTATCAGAGCTTACGAAGACGATCTTGAGCAAGCATGGGAGACATCACGACATACACGAAGCTTAAAGAAGGAGGAGGGACTTCTTCAGTTAATTGTCCAATGCTAACTACAACCAATTATGCGGTATAGGCCATAAGGATCAATCTTTTGCTGCAAGTACATGAAGTATGGGAGGTTGTTGAAGCTGAGACGGATAACAGTAAGAAGAACACCATGGCTATGGTGTTACTCTTCCAGTCGATACCTGAAAGCCTAATTATGCAAATCGGAGGGTTAGATACAGCGAAAAAGGTATGGGAAGCTATCAAAACTAGGTATATGGGAGCAGACAGAGTTCGTGAAGCCCGTCTACAAACCCTTATGACCGATTTTGATAAACTTAAGATGAAAGATACAGAGACAATTGATGACTTTGCTGGAAAGATATCAGAGATCTCTTCTAAAGCTGCTACGTTGGGAGAAATCCCTATAGTAAACCATCTGTATCACCACAACAACAACAAAAACACACACACACACACACTTCCATGTTATGTTCTGTTCTGTTTCAATTTTACTGAGAAAGAACAAGTTGTTGTAGTGTAGGAATCATCATACGATCTTAACAGGAAGAATTGGATCAGTAACAGAAAGTGTCAAGTCTTCGTTCCATTCTGGATTCAGATTCTTTTATTTATCACACGGGTTCGTAGCTTCTGTATCAAGGAATAAAAACATGACACCACAGAAGATTGGGGTTACAAGCTCTCGTTACATGACAGCCTCACGACCTGTGGGCCGGGCCAGTGTTCCACCAACTGGTTATCCTCACTTGGGTTACAAGCTCTCGGAGCTTGACAGATAATTTCTCGTAAAAAAAAATTAAATGCTTGCCGAAAGCAATGGATTATTGGACTTTTGAGAAATCAATAAGAAAGACTCAAAGTAAATGAAAGTTTTTATTGCCTCTCACGTTGAAAGCATTGAAGGAAATCTAAAAAATATATACATGTATATGCACACAAACACAAACACATATATATATTGAAACATCCATTTGTTGTGTAATAGTAGCAATGGTGGGCAAATATTAAAAGAAAAGTGGTGAGAGGATCATTATCAGAAACACACAATTACGATGTTGTTGCCACTGTTTTGTCAAACCATATCAGTTTGGGGTTGATTTTGGAACTTCAAAATTTAGGATAACTGTTGAAAAGATTGTGTCCAAATGTTACAATATTTTGGTGTTCTTTCTTTGTTTTAACGCAAAATATTTAAAATAATATTATACTTAAATTTTATGTAAATTTATTTTTTCAGATCGAGAAATTATTTCACTATAAATAAACATTTCTTTAATTCACAAGTCGAATATTACTCATTTTGTTTCAAAAATATGTATGTTTTACAATTTTTACACGTATTAAAAATACATATGAAATTTTAATTACTGACACATTATTTTTTTGTAACTAGCTATTTCAATAATTTTTAATCAATAGAATTTTAACAATCACAGTTATGCTTTCTAAAGTTTACCATTTATTATTAATAAAGACATTGAAAATGTAAACAAGTTTTTTTTTTTCTAAAACATGAAGTCTTTTGGAGCGGATGAAGTATGTTCTAGCAAATTTCACAAATCTTGGGACTTCTTAAAGTAACTCTCAAAAGTAAAGTGTAAAAATATATAAACTCTTAGAATTTTTTTTGTCAGTTGTGAAAAGATTCCTATACAATTGTAGCACATAATTAAGAAAAACAAAAGAAACCATCATATATTACAAATAAATTATTGTATTAAGAATAGAGATAAGCTTTTACTATGCTTTCGTTTTCGAAATCATCTTGAAGTTTTTCAAAAAAAAGTAAGTTTTGTTGTTCTTAAATCTTTATAACACTAATTTGAGTCAGTTTTGCTTCCAATTTATTGAAATCTTATGAAAAAAAATAAAATAAAATAATACTTTATAAAAATGAGGAATTAAATTGAGTTTATTCCAAATCTTTGAAATCCTACAAGAAAAGAAAATAAAATAATAATCTCTATAAAAATGAGGAAATAAAGGTGATCCAGGTTCAACTCGGGCCATATTACGAGGCACAAAGTATCCCATGCGCAACTTGTTGTTTAGACAAAGGAATCAAACCTATAATCTCTGTATATTTATATTCTCAGACCATAGATTGTCAACCGCTGCACACTCAGATTAATTATAATAAAGTGCATAAAATTTTGCCATTGTCTTCCCATTTTCTGATCATTGGATTCGTCATTTTCAACACACGGACCAGTATTTGTTTATTGTAAATCAAATATTATTTTATTAAATGCTTTTTTACCATTAGTTTTCTTCGTTTTTATCCATCGTATCATTTTATTTTGGGAAATTTGCCAAAAGAGAACTAAAAAACACACATATTGTCCCCTTAGAATGAATTTAATGTTTCATGTCCCATTAGAACAAACTTTAATGAAAATCCATTTTTGTCCTTAGTATTTAGATTTTTGAATATAATTAAAATATAAATATTAATTAAAAAGGGGATAAAAATGGTTTTAATTAAAAAGGGGACAAAATCCCTAAATCCCAAAACACAATCTCCCTCGTGTTCGTCCTCAGCCTTCGGATCTAAACATCATCGGAGACACGGTGAAGGACTCGAAGGGAAACAAAGTATTCAAAGTCAAAACACTTCTCTTCGGTCTCCACAACAAGAGAATTTTGCTTGATCCTAATGACTCTCCTATTGTTACCATGAAAATGAAGGTTTTATTTAGTTTCTTTCACCATATTATCATTTGTTTACCGGTCGATTTTCAGACTTTTTGTTATGCTTTGGGATTTGAATTTTATGTAAAAGGTGACTAGTAAGCACGATCGATGGCAAGTGTATAGAGGAAGTGATTTAGATGATAAGATATTCACGGTTAAAAGATCCTCATCGGTTCAACTGAAAACAAGAGTTGAAGTATTCTTGAAACATAACCAGACCAAAGAAGCCTCTTGTGATTTCACTATAAAGGTCGGTTAATGAAACGTGCATGTACAATATATGTTGGAGACTCCACCAAAGTCATCGCTCAGGTAAAATTTATTTTCGAGAAAATATAGACGCGATGAAGACGTTTATTTTACTTACAAGTATTATCATATATGTGTGTATTAATAATATACAGGTACACGAAGGAGATGAGAGACTAGTGGCTACAGTTTACCCTAATGTTGATTGTGCTTTTATTGTTACACTTATCTTTATATTTGACCTCATTAACATGGCTGGGACTGGAGTCTGATTATTATTTTGAGAGCAAGTGTGTTCTTCGTATGTGTGTGTATGTGTTGAGTGTAATATACACATTTGTGTGTTTTACATGTCTAAATCTCAATCGCTATTCGTATAAAAAAGACAAAGAAATATTACAAAATCAAATTCATGTGTTACCATTTGGGTGGCATATGGCAAAATGTTCTAAACAAGAGATTTTGTCACGGTGGAAAGAAGAAGACCCACATTCAAAGCAAAAATTATTAAAAAAGGAAATAAAAATATTTAGGGAATATTTATTTTCAGATTTTGCTTGATTTTCGGATGGTGGTTCAAAATTGTTGGTAGAAGATACATTCTACCAAATTTCTCATTAGTTTAACCAGTAGATACGTAATCCCACGAACCCAGATAAAACATTAAAATTAAGAAGATATGTTCTGCCAAGGTAGACGCGTGAGTCTTTAGTATATGTTATGTTCTAGTAAAACTCCAGAACAAAGAAGAATGGCAGTTATCATATTCTTCAATCGTAGATGTATATGTTTTTGGTGTATTACACATTCTAAGCCCTTTAGATCGATTAGTTGTTAGTAGATTGTACATTCTAAACAACCGTAGATGGTAGATCTGATTTACTACCTCATTTATCCAATTTTTAAAATTACTATTCCAAACATTTTTCGAAACTAAAAATATTTTTCATATATTCACATGCTACTCAATTTCATATTGTATATTTTTCCTCAATTTTTTAACTTGTAAATTTATTTCTATGAATTTTTATATGTAAAAAGGGTAATGAAGGTCTAAAAGTGCCAAAATTTGATTTTATTCTAAGAGGACAATAGTTGTGTTTTTCGATCCTCTTTTGGCAAATTTCCCTTTTATTTTCTACATACTATGATTGTAAGAAAAGTAGAAAACATACCAATGGGAGCACGTGACAATCAAATTGATTTCATTGGCTTGACGTCTTGGTGACAGATAAGTTTTAACTTGCAAGGTCAAAATTTTAAGGAAGAAAAATAAACAAGTTCATTAAAATTTGGAAAACGTGGTACTTTTAGCATTCAAATGCAATAACACTATGTAGCAAACATTTTTTTCAACTTCCCATTATCTTAATTTTATTCCACACGATTGAAACGCCACGCAGATGTAGCGATTAATGGTCGCGTTTGCCATCCAAGTAACAAACAACCTTCATTTTCCTCCACCTTATACCCATCAGCTCCAGCATAAAGTGCCAACAACATACTCGCTTGCTTATACGCATACGAACCAATATTAACCGGTTTAAATCCTCCCATACTAAACCTGTTTCTCCACTGAACCAGTGTCTCGTGTCTCTCAACCCGGTCCTCCCCTTCGCAGGCCACTAGGTTTAATATCTGTCGTCCTAAGTAGAGCTCAGACATCACTCGGTCTTGACTTGGAGGGCCTTCTAGAGAGTCAAATAAGCTCGAGTAGTAATGTAGCGACTCCGTAAACCGGTCGAGAAAAACGGCGCCGTTATGGTTCGCTTCTTGCTCGACCACAGTTATGATGTCTGGTTTAATCGACTTAATCGTTAACAGAATGTTATCGATTGAACCGGGATGAGCCAAGAGGCGATGGAGCTCAAAAACCGAGTTAACCGCTACGGATTCTGAACCGGTTCGAATCTCAAGCATTTCCGGTTTAAGATCAGATAAACTATTCAAGACAATGCTCTTGAATTCGAAATTCACACCAACTACATTAGCAAGCTGACCAAGTTTCCATCCAACTTCTTGAACCGACTGACCGGTTAACGAAGAACCAATCCCGGTTAACCGAAAATCCGGTGGACCACCTGGACGGAGAGCTAGAGCTTGAATAAGAGCCGGCCATTGCAAGCCTTGATTAAGCCCCAAATCAATAACGTGGACCTTCTCAGCCGTGGCAAAAGCCTCAAGTATCGCTTGGTTCGCCGTGAAGTGAGCGAACTTGAGATACGGACAAGACTCGTAGAAATGTATCTGAAGAGTGTCCGAAAATGACGATAAACCCACGTCATCACGAGGGTAAATCCGGTAAATTCTCCTCGCTAGCCCTTCAGCGAAATACGTAGCGACTTTCCTCATCGCCCCAGCTTGCGACGAGGCGAGCAAGCCGACGTGCTTAACAAGCACGTCGGCTAGCTTCAGGTTGTTCTGTTGAACGGCCTCGGCGCAAGCCAATAGCGCGTGTACTAAACGCACTCCCGTTTCTTGAGAATCCAAAACAACCATAGACCTTGTTGTTGTCGGAGAATCTGATCCTGTTCTCGTCCTTTTGCCACGTGGATACGCTGCGGAGCCAGGAATGGCACTGAGTTCGTACTCAGAATCTTGGTCGGGTTTGACTTGATCACAGGTAGGGTTGAGATCAGAGAGCAAGGTATCGACCCAACCAGAGAGATCAGAAGGGTTGTAATGAACAGTGTCGTCTGAAAGATGCGAGATTCCATCGTCAAGAACCATCTCTAACTGCTCAAGCTTGTTTGCCACGTCAGCCATGTCGGAAGAACGGACTTTGTAACCCAAAACCACAAGAAGCTCGTCGAATCCGCCGGCTTCTTCCTTATTCGCCGTCATTGATGAGCTCCCGGTTTTAACAGCGGAGGTTTCTCGGTGACTATGCTCTCTCTTCATCGTAAAGAGATTAAACTTTTTAATTTAAACTTCTTGAATAATATATAGCTTAAAAAGATGATTTCTTTAGATTTGAGAGAGAGGGAGAGCTAGAAGAAAGAGAGGAGGAAAGAACACGGGAGTGTCATAATAATTGAAGGGAAAAACAAGAAAATTGTATATATTATTTAAATAATGATTATAATTTTCTGAATAGTATTATTTGGTGGAGAAAATATTAGTATGGGGTCTCGAGCCTGGTTGTTTATTGGAGTATATCAGATTTTCGTACCGGCAAGTTCTTAAAAGCAAGAGCAGAGCCGTGGTACAACCGCAATCTATAGCAATTATAAAAGGCAATTTATTTACCTCTTTCATTTTCTTATTTTTAACTGTGATAACTTCATTGTAATTCGTAGTCCTCTCTTCTTTTTCTACAAATATTTTTCTTAGTATCAAAATATTCCCCCTCGGAAAAGTGCAGTTTGATTGATGTAAACCTGGCACCATGAGTTTAACGAGATATTCACAATTTATAGTGTATTATAATACATTTATTTTTATATATTATTAGAAAATTAACATTTCTGGTTTTGATTTGTAAGGTTTCTACGTCAATTTATAAGAGTGTGTATAAATTAAAATCAAGTGAAATACAACTAAGAGATCCAATTTAATTGGGGTTTAAAAGTCTAATTTATAAAGCCAACCACCACCTTTTTCAAGTATAGTGACATCCATTTGCTACTAATTATTGTCCGAGTTATCCTTATAGTTACTAAAATTCTAAAACGATTAATAGGAAAAGTTAATCATTGGCGATTAGGAAAGTTACTGTTTATAATTTATACTATGTTATTATTGTTTTTTATTTATGTATGTCCATATTTGCATGTTTTGTTTAGTTTGTGTATTATTCATTTTTTATATGTTGTTATTTGTTATCATTATACATTATTTGTTATTCTTATAAATCCAAGAAATAGAGACATTTATTAGTAGTTAGTAAGAGATATTAAACATAGGATAACAAAAAATGTTGCATTTTCAACATTTTGTAACATTTTGTTATCTCCATTCTTATAAATGTTGCATTTTTTTTTTTGAAAATGCAGCATTTAGAAAATGCAACTAAATGTTGCATTTTCAGAAGAAAAAAAATGTTGTGTTTTCAGAAAAAAAAATGTTGCATTTTCTCGAATGCGTAAATTGGCAGGATTGGATCTTTAGTTCGACCATAAAAAATGATTTGATACAAGAATTAATAATGTGTAGATGTAAAATGACGCATTTTGGCTTAAGCAAATTGTCATGATAAGAGCAACAGTTTTTTTTCTTTTTGTCAACATAAGATCAATAGTTTTTGACTATCTTTAACCAAAAAATGATTTTGTTGATTATTGCATGGGAATGATCATTTTAAGCATTTTTTTCTTCCAGTATTTTGTTATTACAGCTACCCTAATTTTTTTTTTAAAACATAATAATGTGAATCAAGCTTTAGGCTTAATATGCAAGCGTCAAGCAATTCAACTTTCTCCGTTGCTTAAAATGGGTTTAATTAAGACTACAGTTGTTCTAAGTATCATTTTGTTATCTTATAGAAACCGATTTCAATGAAACGTCAATCCTATTAGACCTAATAGCATTTTTCATACTTGGAGTTAATGCCACTCGACCCAGCATGAATCAATTTGATATTTGTATAGAGCATCTTTAGTCACATTTCCTTTTTTAACCCAATCTTCATTTTATAACCTTTTAAGAAATTTATTTCATTATAATTCCAAAACAGAGTAAAGAGTGAGGTTACTCCATATTTTACACCAAAATTGATCAAGGTTGAAATAAACTTCATTTTGAAGGAAAAAGTAACAATATATTGAAATGCTTGAGAAACCAGTTGTCAGATAAATTTTACATGTTGAATCCTTAAGATTTCATCAATTTAGACCTCTCCCCCCGCCACATGGTTTTTACATTAAAATAAAACAAGCACTATATAAATGTATATATGAACTCTAAAACGATATATATAATTTGCTCGGTTCCACCATTTTCTTAACTATTCATCTTATACCATAATGTTCTGGTACAGAGAACCATTCTCCATCTTGATATACGTTTTGATTAAAGACTTGAGTTCTAAACTAAGTCTGCATAGAAGCAATGATATGTCCTATTGTTCTTCAAAATCATACAACTCTGTAAAGGTATGCTCGTAAAATGATGGAATTGCTCCATTGTCTGTCCCTACTTCATGAATTAGGATCCAAATACCTAAACCACATGTTCTATATTGTGACAATTATTTGATAATTCAATATTTCACTCTCGGAAGAAACGCAAAGCGACTGAATATATGGGGAGGACCGGGGAGATATTAAAAGCG